ATATTACCAATTACGTTTTAATAAAAAAACAAAATATTGTCGTGCGCTACCGCATTTCTTGAGATAAACCGCAATAATACTCGTTTCTTCTCATGTAGATTAACTTTAATCTTGCACTGAAAGAAAAGTTCAGCTGCTACAGCAATTTAGATGATAAAATATGGCATAACATTTTTAATTGGCTACAGCAGCCAATTTTTTGTTGCAGCAGCCAATTAAAAATGTTATGCCGTATTCAGCTAATTTTTTCTTTCAGTGTAGTATAACTTACTTTTTACCTTTTTCTAATTCTAAGAATTAGAAAAGCAGGATAAAGAGTGAATTAAATCGTGATTAAAGTTGATCTACATTGGTAGACATGGACACAAGATAAATCATTCTGAAATCATCGTGTAGGATAGTACTTTTTTCTTCTTCATATTCTCTTATGTACAACTCAGACTCTCAGCTTAGAAACCACGATCGATATGTGTATGGAAAACTCGAGGAGGGTGTTTCATGGCAACCTACCAAACAGGGTTTCTCCCTTAGGGTGATTAACCTTTAAATCCCAAAGACACGCTATACAATCGTGCCACGTCTGCTTTTATTCTTTGACTCATTATAAAGTTTTATATTTTATAATTTTATTACGTACACATGTGATAATTTTCTGGAAGAAATCTTTAAAGAGTTAAAGACTAAGAAATCATGCACGAGAAGAACGATTTTATTGAAATATCTTAAAACTTAGATAGATACAGATCCGAAAATAATTTTATTCGACATCAAAATATTTATGTAAGAAGCTCAAGCATGTTGAACAGTGCTGCAAAAGGTTTCGACGTTGTAGCAACCAGCTTGAGCGTCTTACATAATCATTTTGATAGTCCAACGAAATTATTTTTAGATTTGTACATCTAGCTTAAATACTTCAGCAAATTCGTTCTGGAAAGCAATGTAATAACTTCTTTCCTAGGGCGGAAACAAAAAATACATATACATATTTTTATATGTATGAGAATTTTTTCAGAATTTTTTATCAACTTTTTAGTACTGCATTTTTTTATTGGCGACTATTTTTACGAACACGAAAAAATACGATATTAAAAAATTCTGAAAAAATTTTCAGAACTTTATGAAAAGAAAATAAACAATTTTTGTCTCTTGCTGTTTTTCTATAAAGTTGATAGTATTTGAGTAAAAAATTATTGAAAGCCAATATTCGCAGCGATTTTTAGTAATTAATATCTTGTTAACTATTGCGAAAATTGCAAAAAGGTAGAGGACTTTTCGATTCAGTTTAGTCCGCTCTATTTACACAAAAGGGCTTGGCCAAAAATTGCAGGACACCTTGTATACAAAAAATTTTACTCTTCATGTTTCCGCTCTAGAAAAAAAGTTTATGATCGACATATCCTATAGAGTAATTAGATATTTTGAGACATAGAACAATTTATGGAGGTCCTATATGCTCCAGTTAAGAGATTAATTAAGGGTATATCGTACGTATATATGTGTATATTAAGAGCCTTCGTTCCTAATCGGTAATACTTTTTTCTGGAGCGCGCTGTAATTGTCGATTAATCGTCTGTCACTACCGCGGGCGCCCAAGTCGGTCGGACCGCATATTATTTGTGCCCCACATACCAGCATTTTTACGGGGAACACGGAGAGCTGTGCATGCGCGAGTGCCCCGAGCGTGGATCATAAATATGCGCAACCGTCATTTCCTTGCCGGCAATATTAGGTATGCCAATCTGCGAGAGAGGAAGGAGCAACCAGAACGCGACCGGCAATGGCGCGAGTCGTTTGCATAAATCATCGTTCTTTATTTATCTTGCTCACAAGCTCACTTCATTCTCCGCGCGTATATATACCATTTTAATAGCTTAATAGCGTGTCGTGGATGAACGAATCGTAGATGAACGGATCGCGATAGATCTGATGATAGTCTGAGATGGTCCGCGAATCGTTTGAACGCGAGCTCAAAGCACGTCTCCTGATCGGCGAATGAAACGAGGGAACCTCCGCAATTTGCAAGAGCCGTCAGTGTTTTCTTCCGTAAATTACCTACGCCTCCTTCACGGCATGTTAACGCCAGGCCGACTCCACGATGAGTTCGCCGAGCACGTTGCGCAGACTCCGCGATCTAAAATACTCCCGCCGATCAATATCTATAAAACTCTTGCGTTTCTGGCCACAAAATAACACCCCAAGGAGAACAATAAGTCACGATAACATCAAAATGAATCGTAAATGATTGAAAAGTGACTTTTAGTGATCAGTTTGGATTTATTTTGATATCATTTTGATGTTATAATGACTTGTTCTGCTTCCCACGAAACATATAAGTCGACAAAAAAATTACTTTATTTTGATTTTTAATGTAAATAAACAATCAAACTTTGTAAAAAAATTATTTTGATTTTCGACACGAAAATAAAGTCATTTTGACTTTCTCTTTAATTGGTGTGTTCCTTGTTTGGTCGTGGAACGCGCGCGATTCTCTCGTCGCACGCGTCTCCTCTCACGAAGGATCTCGTCTACGTTCATATCGCATAAAAATATCGCGTTTTCACGATGAACAGAAGTGTAACGTAACGATACCTGCGATTGAAAATGAAGGATAGCCACGGGCGTGCCTCGCGTAGAAATAAATTACAAAAAGTAGTATAACTTTGACGTGAGATAAATCGTATTAGATTACGAAGACCCGTCCGAGAAAAGCATGTTCAGTAGTTGTCGAGCAAATCGTTTGCCGACTGATCATGCGGAAATCGCCGACGAAAATAACAGTAAGGTCATACTCGGCGATAAATTAATCGCGCCGCTTATCGAGCGCTTTTACTCTCTTTGTTTTTTTTTCCCCGCGATTAATCGCGGATTCAAGAGTCAATGAGCGAAAGATGACCGGTCATCAGCGAGAAAAGCGTGAAAAGTTGCAGAGCATTCGACGGAAAGAATGATTTTACCGAAGTATCTAAAAATTTAGCTAGATATATATATAGATTTAAAAATAATTTTATTGGACCATCAAAATAATTACGTAGGAATCTCAAGCATGAAGAGCAATATGTTGTAAAAAGTGTTGACATTCTAAAAACCAATTTGAGTGTTCTACATAATTATTTTGATGGCAACAAAATTTTATCTTCAGATCTATAGCTAAATTTTTAGATTTCAGCAAAATCGTCCTTTGTGTGTCTATTTTCCATATCGAGAAGCAAGTCAATGTTATATACTAAAAGAAAATTGTTTGTGTGATATTTGTAACTATAATTGCATGGTAAATAATTATGATAGGTGCTCCATTTTTATAATTATTACTGCTATAATATTAGTAATAATTTTTTAATTTTATACAGTATAACTACAACTTCGTTTATTTGCACACCATTTATACGAACAAGTTCCAAATATTTCAACTCAACTAAGTTCCTATATTATATAAACTATGACGCCGTTCGGATAATAAAAGCTCAACGTGTTCGACTCCAGTTTTCTGAACGTCAGCTCCTATTATCAGGACTAAAAAGTGGAGGGGAGAGTTAGTGAACCTCCATTATCCGAACCGTTCGGTTATTGGAATTGTTTTGTTTTCTGACAAGTTTAGAGTTTTACTGCATATACATATGTTTATTTCTGAAAACCACTATAATTTTATAGTCGTTTTCGAGGACAACCATATTTAAATAAAATATGTATAGTATATAAATAAAACTATCATATATAAAACTGAAAAAATATAATTATTATGACTATTATAAAATAACGACTTAAAAAATGGCGCTCCTAACAATAATTATTTACCTGCAATTACAGTCATAAATATCAAACATTTTTTTCCAGTGTGATAATTTATTAAAATTAAAAATATTAGACCCAGTCCCCGGAAAACGATTGGATCTTGAAAACTCTTAAGAGTTCACGTCTCGAAGACGTTCGCAACGCTCTGGTGAAGACGCGACCGCGAGAGAATACCTTCAAGATGCTTTGAACGTTTTCCACTCACGGCGCCTACACGAACAGAACGGGTATGCGCGAAAAATCGATGAGTCATTGTCGTTTCGACTACGGCGGCCGTTCGGTCCCGACATGACATGCGATGGATAATTTTTGTTGTTTCCAAAGGGCGAGGAACGCGCGCGGACGGAGGATTAGCATCGAACGTGATTCGTTTTTAAAGAAACAAATCTACGTAATCGCAGATACACTATTTTTGCCTCGCGCGACGTTTTCTCACGTAGACGACTGGTCGCGCTTGCTGACTCGCTTTTGCAATTATGCAAGAGACGATATATCCAGTGTGGAATTTGCGCGCGTCGACTTGCGTTTCACGCTCGCATGTTTGTTTTCATTTGTACTTTTGCGAACGTGCGCGATTCGCGCAGTTCCATCGATTCGTTAGAATGTCTCGAGATCGACCTCGAAAAATAGCTCGCGGTAATTCCGGCGTTGATCGCACCTGCGCGCGTCCTTGGCAAGGCAATCGCTGCGGCCTTGACATCGGAGGCGCCCGCGTATCGCGAGGGCGACACTTTCAAGAACCAGGATCTCGAACGATTGACGTTTCCAGCATAGCTTGTCGAAAATGTATTGATCATCATCGCGAAACGCGTCGTCGTTAATAAGTACCGATCTTCCGAGCGGACGTGAACTGGAAAAGAGTTTGATAACAGCTACCAAATGTTTGGTAAAATAATGTCTAATTAAATTGTTTGATTAACTAAATTATTTTATTTTCCTAAATATTTTTTTTGTTGCCGTTTGTAATACTAAAATATCAAGAAAGTGAAATAATTTTATACAATATTAAATACATTATCTACACAACAAATTAGAAATTAAGTTCGATCAAGCCTGGCTCTTTAGAGCTCAAATAATAATATTGACAAAATAATTTTAATTACTAAATATTAATAAAATGTTTCATTGGCATTCTTTCACTAAACATTTGGTAGCTATCAGCAAATTCTTTTTTCTGAATCTGCGGAATGGAGAACAAAGGCGAGATTTACCCTGGAGCATATTCTGGTCAGCGTCCTCGTCCGCGTGGTAGCGGACGCCGCCGATGGAAGAGGACAGGAGACTCATTTTCGCGAGGATGTCCAGCGGTGCCGTGCGCACGTCCTCGATAAAGCCGAGCGGCACCGAGCGGGTCTGGGTCCGGTTCCTCGAACCGGCACGGTGCGCGGCGCGAGGGCGATGGCGATGGCGATGGCGAGGGCGAGGGCGAGGGGCCGCCTGGCCCGTGCGCTCGCGGAGCTATTGGCGCGAGCTCGCAGCACGGCCACGGGCGAGCCAATCGACGCGCGACGTGCGGTAACCTCGGGGGGGACTCGCGGCCCTCACGGACCTCGGAGAGCTCGCGAAAAGCTACCGGCCATGGGCTGCCGACTCCGGAACGTCACTTTCTCTCGACGGCGGCGGTGGTTACTCCCGATGCCACCTGCGACGGCGCGTCCGCCGTCTCCTTAGGATCGTCCCGATCGTCCCCCCCGTGTGCTTTCGGACCAGGCGGCTGCGGATTCGAGGATCAACCACGCGGTTGGTTTTGCGGAACTACCGATACCAAGCGAAGACGGCAATTTGACAGCTCACGACGCGGTCACTCCGACGTTGTCACTCCGGCTTGACTGGCACCGCTGGCACTGCCCCGCCAGGCCGATAGCCGCGTCCAGGCGTATAGCGACTAGCGAGCGTCTGCGCCGCGTCCCGCACCGCCGTTTGCCGTGAAACACGGCGGCGCATGACGCGCGATCAATAACAGTCGCCGCCGCCGCCGCCGCCGCCGCCGCTCCCGGCGACTGCGCTATATCGCGTCATTATCGCTACACTGATCGGCTGATGGATGGACGGAAGACACCGAGCTCCCGCGACCGCTGATGACCAGTGGCCGGTTATCTTCGCCTTGAAATATTTACCTAGACAATATAAAGTCTAAAATCGTGACATAAGACTTAGTTACGAATCTTCTAATGAAGGGGTAAACCGCACTGACCAAAATTGTGTACACCAATACCTACTAATGCCCAATTGTTTATGCCTACTAATCTAGTAATATCCATTAATGTCCTAGTAACGCTCTATATACAATGCCCAGTGATGCATATCTTTATTTATACCGCTCATTATACGATACACAATTCTCTTAAATAATGCCCAGTAATGCCCCAAATCTGTACACCGCAATGCCCTCGGCGGTACCCTTGATCTTAATCTTAAAACCTTGTGTACACGATACTAGAAATTACTCCGAGATTTCGAAGAAAAAATATCAAATCACATTTGAACAATTCGGTCGATTGACTAACACATTTAATCAATTCCTTCTCCGTCCGAGTCTCAAGACGATTTCTAGAATTGTGGATACAAGGCTTTAAAAATATCTCTAGCGAGACGTTTACACGTTCTTTAGAAAATATGGGGATTTAACACCATGAAAAGTCTATATGATTCTCATTGTGTTGTGTGTTGATATAAAAAAAAACACCAGGGGTTTTAAATTCACACCACCGTGTTGATGTTAACTCTTATCGTTAGTAGGTACACATAAGATTAGTCGTCTATGGGTAGCTCGGCCAGGGTGAACGTGTTCTTGCTTCGGTCCGAGTGTTGTATTACCCCAATTTTTTCAAGTTTTTGCCGAGAGTTTAACTTATGTATTTAAGTAGGTGCAAGAGTGATATAAGATAGAATATCAAAGAAATAATAACGGAAAATGAGAAATCTTATACTAGATTACCTTAAATTTTAGATACTTTGTGCCAAAAGATCAAAAGGAAGAACTGAAGGAAAATCATATATATAATGAAAAGAAATATACACGATGATTTTCCGGTCCTTTATTACACACGATGAGTCGTTCATTAACCTGAATTAATTTTCATTACTTTTACAAGTATAGAAAAATTATTAAGTGATTCTTACATGTTACTTTAACATCTTTAGAAAGTATTTGCGTTCGTTATTTTGAAAAATTGTATATATAAACTAATTACAGATCCTAGTATTTCAAAGAAAAGAAATGCGCAGGACAAGTATAACTCCATCAAGTGTATAAGAGTTAATATTGACACCAACGCGATGAGAATTATATAGATACTGCATGATTTAAATCCATACACTGAGAAAAAAATATCTTAAAACAAAAGATAAGCTATTGGGACCCATTGAATAAATAATTTTCTTATTAAGTAAAATTTTTTTGTATCAAGATAATTTTTCTCTCTCAGTATAGCCATATTTTTTTAAGCGTAAAAGACGTCTTTTACGTTCCGATTTTAGATCTTATGTTATCTGGGTACGTATGTAAATTTTGCCAGTACTTAAGAATCGCTCGAATAACGCACGAATTCCAAAGAAGCATAATGTAGGCTATTCATATAAAGCATTTACTTACCTCTCTCCCGTCAAGGATCGTGCGGCGAAATCGCGGCGTTGCGATGCGATGGAAGAACGTCCGTCTTCGTCTCCGGAGCGCGGAACGAGGCAAAAATGTAAATGGACGTTACGCACGCCGGTTTGTTTATTATTTCATCGTTGGCGTAATTAACGACGACGGCATAAATTCGCGTTACGCGTCACGCGCAAGTTTGTTGACGCTGCCAAATTATTTATTCCGTAACGCTTTAATTGACTCGCGTAATGCGTAGAGAAATGTGATCGGATATTGGAGAAAGTCCTGGTTATCATTACTGTTCACGACGCTTCACGGGACGCGTAATAATAACGCCGTACATCGCACGCGTTGTGTGATTTATGCAGGTCTCCGTTCCTTCGCTCTCTCACGCTGTTGTAGCTAATGTTGTATTGCGTAATAACATCGCTCCTACTAGTATTACGACTGCGGTGTAAAATAACGAGAGCCTGAAAACAGCTTCGAGGATTCTTTGTTACTTTTTAATATTGCACTGCGTGACCAATGTAAGTACTACTATCGTTGCTCGCATTACGATCTTTCCTAATTGAATCCCTTTACACTGAAAAACATACTAAATTTTAATAAATATATTTGTTTGAATATTTTTAAGTAAATATTTGCTAAATATAAACATATGTTTATTCGAATAAAAACCATAAAAGTCATTAATTATTATTTTTTTATGAAATAAATATTTATTTACTATAATTTTATGTTTAGTTAGTACTATTCAAAGAAATGTGTATTAAGATTATTAATTTTTTTTTCAGTGTATATTATATTCTTTAATTACACTACTGTGTCTTTATATCATATCAGTTTTATATTTATCTTATAGCAAATTCGGTTGGACATTATTGCGCACTGGTGCACATAAAAGTCGTTGTACATTGATTTAATCTGAAAAGTGAAATGCAAATATTTCGAATTATAAAATACATATTTCATCCAACAGAATAATAAAGTGTATTGAAGATTTCACAGTTTAATCGATTTCTATATTTATATCAAACACATACCTTTACGTCAATTTGTTTACGACGGTTTTAATGTGCACCAGTGCGCACTGAGTGCGTTTAATCGAATTCGCTATTAATCTATTATATTTCCCCATACTGGAAAGTCTCGTTGCATTAATTGAAAGTCTGGTAAATTCAGCCAGAAAGATATACCTATACAAATCAGACATTTATAGACTATAAATGTATCAAATATTCTAGTCGAGATAATCAGAAATTCAATTATGATAACCACAATTCTGATTTATATCAATATATGATCAGCATTCGTTCTGTTTATATTATATTTCTTATTGGTACAACCAGATAATTTTTCACAGTGCTTGTAACGTGTTATTATTTTTAGTTTTAAATGCAGTGCGAGATGAGGAGTTAGGGAATTTCCGGCACAGAGGCGTGCGAGGGAATGACTTAACAAATCGACAGTTTTCATCGACAGCGACTTCGACAACCGTTCGCGTTTCTAGCCGGGTGGCATTCATTACGCTGCACTGACATCGGCGCGTTGCATTCTACGTGTGCGTTCATGCATATCCGTCTCAGCGAGCATATCCGTCTCAAGTGGTACTCTGGAATAATTCATCTATCCCGTTATATATGCCGAACGGGATTAACATCTTGGTGCACGGCGGATGCTTCGGTCTAATCCTGACACGTCGCCCTTTCTTGCGATTTAATTACGATTTCGCGATAGTTATACTTTCCATTTAATGATATTAGTCGACGTGTCATCCTGTCTTTTAGTGAATTCAATTGAACGATATACTGAAAAAAGTTTACTAAATCTTAATACATATTTCTTTGAGTAGTAAAGTAAACATTTACTGAACAAAAAGATGTCAGTTAAGTCGAATTAATAGTCAATAGTCTTTGTATCAAATAAATATATGTCTATATTTAATAAATATTTACTTAGAATTGTTTAAATATTTATTAAAATTTAAAATTTTTCAGTGCATTAAAGCTGTTGCATACTGATTTAACTGAGTGTAAAAGTAAAATGCAAATATTTCATATAAAATATATATTTTATCTAACAGCTCAATAAAGTGTATTGAGGATTTCGCAATTTAATTCGTGTCTATATTTATATTAAACACATATCTTTACATCAATCTATACACGATAGCTTTAATGTGCACCAATGCGCATTGGGTGCGTCCAACTGAAATCGCTTGTATTTGTATTGTTATTTGAGGAGCAGACTTTCAAAATGCGTTTTGTCCAAAATTTGTAATTTTCAGAAAACGAGAAAGAAAGAAATTACGCACATAAAAAAACTACGCACTTTTTACAGAAAATAATAATATGTCAATCAGTAGAATGTGAAATATTAAACAAAATTACTAAACAATTGCTAAAAACAAATGCATTTTGTTTATCTCTAGTTAAAAACATAATGCACTTCGAAATGTCTATGTTTTTTCAGCATATAAATTAACGATGAAAAAATGCTTTCTCTGAACATCTCGGAGTAGCTTATAATATGAGTTTTTTAACACTGAACGTTCCGACATCTCTCTAACTAAAAAAATGAAATTTTGGACAAAACGCACTTTGAAAGTTTGCTTCTCATTTATTGAACATCAAGAAAGAGATTTGTGTCACTAAATGGAAAGCATCTATAAAAATTCGTTTGTATATGTCTCGATTTATCTTTTGAAAGTGCGCGTCAACACCTGATAAACGGATATGCGTAACTTCCGTAAGCGAAGACGAAAAATTGACTTTCCAACCCGATAAGAACCATCAGGTCGTAAGCGGCGCATAGATAATTTTACGCGTTAACGGTATATGGTCGCGCAAGGCCCACTTAGTAATTCATTTAATAGCCTGCGATAACCCGCGTGTTATCGCAGGCTATATCTGATGATTAACCGCGTGGCATGCGAATAACTAGCGGTTGTCATCTCGTGTGCGCGATGCGTGTTCGAAAAACCCGTCGTGGATCCATTAACGCTAAGGACTTCGATTCGCGCTAGGCGGATAGTAATTAGTTGGTCTTCTATATGAAAACCGGCTTCCACCGGAGATCGATGCGTGGTGTCAAAGTAACGTAATGTATATTTATATCTCCGTCGTTAAAAATCGCGACGCTATCTGTCTTCACCGGCACGCTTCCCATCGGATGCGATTTTTCCGCCGAGGAAAGAGGTCCTGATTTTTTTTCTTCCTCTTTTTATCTTAAGACTATCTTCCACGAGTATCAACCATCTTTACGGTCGTCACCTCTACGGTTTTACTACTAGAACTGGTGATTTGCTTCGAAGACTTCGACATT